ACTCATGTGAGCTGTTTGATTTCGAATACAAAGCTTCGATCAGTTCATGTTCGCTCACAACTTTTTCGTTTCGCATGAGCAACTTGAATAAGCACGTTACATCTGAACGACTGTTTGAGTTTGATTGTATTTCCACTAAGTGTTATCAAGCCTGCTCAATCATACTCATTGCAGCCCTCTGATGTGTATGTATTGCTTTGAATAGAAATAAATCCTCTGTTTCAGAAGCGGAATGAATCTACTAGTTTTGCAATTTTTTTCGACATCATAAAAATATCAGGAACAATATTCAATATTTTGCCAGTATTCAATTGTTTCTCTTTTTCATCAATTCGTAATCTTAAAAATTGTTAGAGGAAATAACATAACAGATTCTTCGGATGATACTCGATAATACATCCGTTCAATTCAATCAAACAATTTTTGCTGGTTACCCTTGGCTCGCTCAAAGTAGAAGAATAATTTGGCCTCAAACCCGTACACAAAAAATTTATTTTGTTACTGAGGTAATGCTTTTGATAATTGACCAATCACAATAAATTCTACTGTGAAAAACATACGTTAAGTTTATTGTGATTGGACAATTATCGCGTTTAGTCTCGGTCAAGATCACATATAAATGTAGAGGAAAATGTAATCTTGCTAATTCAATATCAGTGCTAATGAAACTCCCAAAAAGTCATATCGGTTGATACGAGTTCGATGTGTAATTATTCAATGTATCTTGAATGTTCGGAAATTCATTACCCACAACTTTGGCAAAAAGGGTGTTTATATACAATATTCGAAGCCATTAACCGTGATAACTGTTCAGTCACAATAATGTTAACCTATGCTTTCCATACAAATAGTTGTTATTTTAAAGTACTTTAAGGTCATTGTGCTTTTTTCTAAAAAACGTTTATAACTTTTCCCGTCCATTACGAAGATTGTGCACACATCAAAACAAAAACCTTGAACGACATTTCAGTTTAAAAAAAGTATAAAAATACTTATAATACAATTAAATGGAATCATGCCAAATTTTATAAACTCAATGAATACAGTAGACATATTCAACAAATGACTACATTTAATTCTGAAAGCTGGGAAAACGTTGTGCGATATACTGAGCATGTACTGTTTCAACATACTTTTACATGTATTGCAGCACAACTAGCTTGGGACAGTGTCAAGGAAAATTATGCAAGTTTTTCGAATGCACCCCCTTACATGCCTTACGTCAAGTGTTTGCATAACCTCTCTACTACTATGAACGTACGTATGTACAGGCCGAAGGCAGCAATGCCGAAAAAGTGCTCCTTTCGCCACAGAGAAATACTAGAATTGTTTGCGACATTGTCAGGACAAATTCCGCGGCGATTCCCTACTCAGGTAATTTTACACATTACTCGATGATATCGACTTATGTAATAATCTGTTGTGTTTACGTGTATATACACATATAAATATAGATAATTTTGCAATCATCTCTAGAAAGGATAATCACAGGGAGCTTTGCACAGGTCTTAATGAATCAACTATAGCAATGGTATTTGATCGAACTTCAAAAAACAAAGCGAATTAAGTCGCCGGGACAATCGTTACATTAGAATTATGTAACATGGTGCCTTTGAGAAAGGAATTTTCCAAAAACGGGTCATCACAATATCAACAGTTTTTCTCCGAGGCTTTTTTCCTGACCAATTTTCGAGGTAATATTATTTTCGCCTTCTGTCCACTATTTGAAGAGTTTTGTTTGGAATTACGTTGCTCGAACAATTTGCACGTTCATTTGCCCCGCGACAAAATACTTACATCGGCACCGAGATACACAAAACGACTGTCGAACTAGAACAGAACAACACGAACAAACGAAAACAAATGTAGGTGTCTGAAGGAAAAGTGTTGCCAAAAATAATATGACATGGATTGCAGCTGAAAAATGTAACATTTTGGCTTTGTTGTGTACAACGAGCGAATCGTACGCTATTTGAATAGATTTTCCTGTTCTTCAACGACTTTCGCGGGCTTCCTAAACCTATTTAAAAGAAATTGTCCTTCATTGGGTGCTCTGAGATGAGAAACCAGGCTTAGGTAGGTAAAGCAGGTTTACAATTGCATTCAAAATTATTCATTTGACAACATCTCATTGTCAAAGTGTATAATTATAAATGCAGTCTACAAACACATATCAGAGATAGAACCTGTTTTCTATGCAGCGAAATTTGACAAAGTAAATTACACAACATGCGGAGATGGGAATGCTTATTTGAAATGACTTTACCTTCTTAATTTTACAATGAAACCAGGCTTAATTTACATAATAGACGGTTACAACAATGTTTATGTAATAATTATTCCTTTATTTTAATAAATTGGCCAATCCCAACAAATTAAGCTGCAAGTACATAAGAAGCTTGAAGTCATGGCTAGGCATTTTGTAACATTTCATAAAGGGAGTACAGAGCCGCACTAAAATCCTGCCGTCATTATCCATTATAACTTGACATTAATATGCCTAGCCTTGACTTCAAGCCGTTTATGTACTTGCACCCTTAGACTTTTTAAGATGGGCGCTAACTTTATTGTGACTGGTCAATTATCGCGACTAAAGAAAGGGAACTAGGATATAATACGGCAATTTTTACTCAAATCTTAAAAATTTTAAACGCCCAAGTAAAAAATTGAGAATTTAGCACGTACAGGGTGAAATAAAAAACTGCAACAAAGTCAAACGCCATAATTTTTACTTTTTCTTAAATTTTATTGAAGGAAAGATGTCGGAAATAGCATCAAATTGTAGAATAGGTTTAGATTTTTTTCGAATTGGTCGCCTTTGCCACGAATTATGGCCTTCAAACGGCCAATGAAACCGTCACACGCTGCTCGAATGTTGGTCTGCGGTATTTTGGCCCATTCCCGGCGAAACGCTTGCTTGAGGTGATCGACACTTTGGTATTTCTTAGTGCCAACCTTGATTTCCAAAAAAAAAAGACTCTAGACACAGTCCCAGTTCAACGGATTGGTATCCGGAGATTTTGGTGGCCATTGTGCAGGGCACCTCATTTTGTAACCATTCTTGACTGGCGCGTGCTGAGTCCTGTTGGAATGTCCAAGGTCTGTGGCCAAAATGTTTACGTGCCCAAGGCTTTAATACACCCTCCAGAATATTTTCGCGATAATATTCGGCATTTATTTTGATGTCACGGTCGATTAATACGAGCGGAGAGCGACTATCGGCTGTTATGGCGGCCCGCACCATCACCATGGCCGGTGCTTGAGTTCTGGTGGTCAACCGAAGGTGCACATTTTCAGCTGGCCTTTTCGTAGACACAATCAATTTGTTTGTTTACAAACTACTGGACAACGAATGTTTTCTCATCGGAGAAAACCAAATTCGGCAGTTCAGCACTTTCGGCCAAGCGAAGTAACAATTCAGCTCTTTTGAGTCTATTTTATTTCTGTTGCGGTGTAAGTTCTTGCAATTTTTGGAATGTCAATGGCTTTACCCCGAGCTCATTTTTCAATATATGCCAAATGTAATATTGCGATATGTTCAGCTCACGAGCTATTTTTCGGCCAGTGCGACGCGGGTTTCGATCAAGTCGCTTCTTTACTTTTTGAACCATTTCTATTGATGTTGCTGTTTTCTTCCGTCCACTTCCTTGACGTCGGGCTATGTTACCAGTATCACTGTAATGAGCGATAGTACAAGACACAAAAGATTTATTCACCTTTAAATGCTGGAGTGCTCTATCGATAGCCACTAGTGGTTTTCCAGCCAAATATAAAGAATTCACACTATCTCGCTTGAATTCCATCACGAATAACTTTTTTCTGGAAAATTCTCACCAAAATTTAACAGCTGTCGGACGAGTGGCTTAGAAATGACAGCAGTCTGAAGTTGGTTGTACTTTTTTATCTCACCCTGTATAACTATGAATCTAGTATTTCGTACATAAACAAATTTGCATGTGGTTGTTATGATGGCACAATTACAGAATTTAGGACGAAGCTACATATCTCCTAAAAATAATTTTAGGATAAAACAATATTGTCCCTCTATCTTGGATTCACTTTTTTGGAAAAAGGCCCAATATTCAATTCATGTTTTGTGGATTTTTTCCAATTTGGTAATTCAGTGACAAACCAGTAAAGAAAGTCTTAATGTCGGGCGGGGCCGACTTTATGATACCCTACACCACTTTGCTAATTTAGTAGAGCTCCGCATAGAAAAAATTGTTGTCCATGAAATATGACAAAAATTGTATATCATGTATAAGCATATGTAATAACCTTGTATAGTTTTGTCATGCCTGAACTAAAAAAACTTTATCCAGAATAACAGTGACATTTGACCAATTACAATGAATTTGACTATGGAAAACATACTCTAATAAACTCTAGGTTTACGAAATCCACTCGATTTCAAATGTCAAACCTATAGCGTATACATACGTCAAACAATATCCACTGGATCCACGATTTACGTGGAGTATATGCTTTGAAATTGACATTTGAAATCGAGTAGATTTAGTAGATGGATCAGCACTTGTGAGCATTGATATGTCAAAAATATTGTACCAGTAGCTGCGTTGCTGCAATATGCGTTGCTACCTGTATCATTTTACCATGATACCAACATAAAAAAAACACCGCATCAGTACATACCAATCATGTTCTATATAAGGTCGACCAACTAAGTTTGTTGTTAAAAGACATAGTTTTGATCTGACATTCAAAGAGAGTCAAATCACAATACTCCAGTCTTCTTGACCGACCGTATGCCTCGATCCCAATATTTAGAAGTGCTAGTGCATATGCCTGTATTATTTTACCAAGATACATACCTATATAGATGACACACTTATTTAGAAATATGTACGCAACATGGGCCGGAGAACCTTGAAAATATATTCTCTGGCGAGGCGTTAATTCGTTGATATTTTGTGAATAAAGCTCTAAGTTCTATAAAAGCTTTTTCTCGGAGCATTTGTTTGGGTTGTTTTGTTTATAACAACTTGAACGGATTTCATTAGTGTCTCTGACTTTGTAAGTTCGGGTATTGCTTCGCGGCTCCACGCTTGGACAACAGCCCAAAACAAAACATTTCATTGTTCTAAGCATTCGGTGTTATCAGCATATCCACAACAACCTCACGCAGAACCACATCAAATCACAGGAAGGAAGTTTGTAAGTTGCCTTTTCGCATACGCATATAAACGGCATCATGGCTTTACAAAATATTTTAATTTCTGGATATAGGCATAAACTCTCTTGAAAATTAACAATATTCTGTTCTAAGTTGGAAGCAGTTTCTCGTTTAAGAAATAGTTTTTGCTGCAGCAGTGCCTATTTATGTGTTTGTGCACATTATGTAGTATGTATCTGTCGTGGCTCGTTACATAAATTCATATGAACTTGCATACAAATTGGTGCGACGAAATGCTGGAGTTATTTTTAACGGTAATAAACTACTAGCCTAGAAAATTTAAATAGTTCAATCATTTCAAGGTACCAATGCGTACGAAAGTATGTTTGCTTTTATACAAATTAATATGATAGGTGCACATTGAAAGTCATTTACGAAATTTCGTTTCCTGTACCCAAGTAAGATTTGGGTAGGAACTGCATTCTAATATCCTGTCAGTGGTTTATAATTAATTCAATGGAAACAATTCAAAATACCGAGCATATCGCCAAGGTAAAAAATGAAAAAAAAAAAATTATATATATATATATTCCTTAGGTTTTTCAACGAAGTTGTAACCGTTTTTTCTCCTGCTGGTTTATATTTATACAAATATAAGAGGGTTACAACAACGTTGAAAAACGTAACTAAAATAAACAAAATATCGAATGTTTGATAGCTAATATACCGACATTTAAAAATTATGGAATTTTGGGAGGTACCTTTGTGTGGTAGGACGGAAGAGTACAAAATTAGGGTTCGGAAGACCGACTGATAGAAACAGACGAACGGACGGATATCACTACATCGCCTTAGAATTTATTCTGGTATAATTATCTCGGAGGTCATAAAGAAGAAAAGTCTTATTTATGACTGTGGTTTACATAAGTTTTTTTTTTTGTTTTGTTCGACAATACCTAATACCCGTCGTGCCGAACAAAAATACTCACCTTCACCACTATGGTAACATTTTTCCTCCTGCCGTATTACCAAAATACGCAATGTTCACATTTTCTAGCCAACCAAACAAAAACAACAAGCAAATAACTAATAACGGTGAAAAAACGTCGACCGACTACGACAAATTTGAAATTGTTTGATGCTCTACCAAAATGCTTGCGTCCGTATATTTAATTCACAACAATCAATTATGTTTTTAGCGAGTATTACCCAAATACACATTGCGTATGAAAATAAGGTTTTCAATTCTTGTGGTGAAGGACGTTGAAGGCGTACGTCAGGTATTAGGTAGGAATGTTAAACTTATGTACGTAACTCATATATATGAATATGTTTTCAGACGCTGAAATTTGCCACATCATATTGAAATTACATTCACAACAATCCCAAAGATGGCCTCTCCTACTCTAAAACAAGGGAATAGAGTCAGCCAATCATCAAATTCGTCAACATCACGGGTCAGCATGACAACATCACAGGCAGACGAAAACTTCGTCGAATCAAAGCTATTTAGTTGGATGCGCCTTTTTCGCTTTGCCTCACTCCTGTGTCGAGCTGAATAAACCAGATACCATATATGGAAGCATGAACTTCGCCACATCATAGCCAGTAATTTAAAACAATAATTAGACTATTCAAATTGTCGCAATTAGTAATGTAGTGGTTATTGCTGTTACCGTTAACAATGTTTAGTTAATACTAATATGTGAGTTTTATTTCAATTATTATGAGGATGAACATGTATATACAGATGCGGATCAAAACCGATGCGGATAAAAACCGATTATTATTATTTGATTAGATTTTTAGATGACAGGGAATAAACGCACTCGGTTAAAAAGATCTGGTGGTTTAACCTTGTGTGTTTAGCTACACCGGACTAACCAACACTATCAGGATTTATTGCGTTATCCGGTTCAACCGGACTTACCATACAAAAATATAACTTCCCACGACCGGAATTATTTTAAAACAATTGTGGAATCTACATCTAACGGAAGGCATCACTAGGTCTATCATTAGTGTTGCCCATGACAGAAGAATACAGGTAGATGCATTAACGCTTGGGAGCATTGATATGCCAAAAATTTTAAATATTTTTCCAAATATAAGAAGATTTGTATATGTTTTCTTATATGACGTCATTCGGAGGTTATTATAATTCGCGTTTTCAAACAATTTTTACAAATTTAAATAATTTTTATTCAACATTTTCAATTGCAAAATTGGTTTGACAGTTCATTGTCCCAGCGGCTGTGTCGATGCATCTACCTATATTCTTCTACCACGGTATTGCCGTACACTTCAAAGTCGCAAATGTCTCAAGCATAGTAGAAAAATACAGGTAGTCGCACCGACACAACTGCTGGGACCAATTTTGGAATTGAAATTTTTGAATTAAAAATTATTCAAATTTGTAACAATTGTTATAAAATACATATCCTAATAACCTCCGTTTGGCGTCGCATAGGAAAACGTATAAAAATCTACATATTTTTGAAGAAACATTTAGAATTTGTTGGCATATCAATGTTCTCATGCGTTAATGTATCTACCTGTAATCCATGGCACAATTACAGAAGGTAGAACAAAGCTACACTCTAAAAACATTTTTTATACCCTCCACCATACATAGTATGGAGGGTATATTAAGTTCGTCATTCCGTTTGTAACTCATCGAAATAATCATTTTAGACCCAACAAAGTATATATATATATATATATATTCTTGATCAGCGTAAAATTCTAAGACGAATTAGCCCTGTCCGTCCGTTGTAATCACGCTACAGTCTAAACGAATAAAGATAGGAAACAAAAATTTTGCACAGATCTCTCTCTTGTCTGCAGGCAGATCAAGTTCGAAGATGGACTATATCGGTCAACGATATCGTATAGCCCCCATATAATGGTACCCCCCCACCCCGGTATTCGGCATTTTGATGTTTTTACACACATTTTTCAACGGAATTGTCTGATAATCGACACAAGGAGTTCTTTGTGAGTACTTTACTCCCTGAAAGAGAATTGTCTATATAGGTCCACGATATCGTATATCCCCCATATAACGGTACCCTCCGATATTCAGTATTTTTATTATTTCAGCCACATTTTTCCATGGAATTGTCTGAAATTCCACATAAACCAGATCATATACCCATTTTGTGTATGTGTGTGTATTGTTTTGAATAAAAAATACAATAATTTGGAATTATTTCAAATTTACATGCAACAGAAATTTATAAAGACAGAAAAATGCTGAAAATTTTTGACATTCCAGCCAAATTGTGGAGAGAAACAATAAAAATTCGATAAAGACCTCTGTTGTCTCGTTTTTAGGTTTAACACACATCAACGGTCATCGTCGTTGTCATTTTCGCCATGTTGTTTTTGTCTATATTCGAAAAAATTCGCATCAGAAGATGTCGTTTCAGTTGTATGAGTGAAAATATTGAAGTCACTTAATTCTAAAATATTAAAATTATTATGAACTGTGGGATATTTATCAGATGAATAATAATAATAATAATAATCAAGTGAAAATTTTGAGTGTGCTTTCGAAGTCGAGCAAGTCAACCACGTAAATCAGCATGTTGACAATGTCACCTGCATAAACAGACAAAACTAAAGGTGAGAAAAAGGCTTTAACTGGCTTCATCATCTGGCTTCTTTGAGAAGAACAAAGGAGCGCAGGTAAGTAAGTATAGACAAGCTAATGGACATGGTACAATAAAGAAGGTAAAGTCATGCAATCATATGTTTACATTTTTTTCAAACATTTCATTGTCAACATATTTATTTATAAATCCATTGTACATACACAAATTAGAGATGTAAACCTGCTTTCTATGCAGTGATATTTGAAAAGATAAATTACAGAAAATGCAAAGATGGGAATGCTTGCTTGAAATGACTTTATCTTCTTAATTTTCCCAAGTCAAAAAGGATGGTACAATAAAAAGGTAAGGTAGAGCTTTTGTTCTAAGCCTGCCCGACTTCTGTCAATTTTGTGTATGTGTTTATTGCTTTGAAAAATGAAAACAAAATACTTTCAAAACCAATGATTGGAAGGCACGTACATAGCGGCTCGCGCATTAAAGCTTTTAACCAGTTTAACCATGAAATTGAACGATTGAAAAGTGCAGACTAAGTGCAGACATTTCATTAATTTTTCGCGCTATTTAACTCATTAAAAAAATGAAAACAATTTGTTGTATATAATTTTGAATGAGTCTGACAGGAAGCGGGTATAGCCTCAGGGCTGTATTTTTGTAGTTTTACGGAGCTGTTCTACCTCCTTACTGCCTGACAGGAAGCGGATATAGCCTCAGGGCTGTATTTTTGTAGTTTTACGGAGCTGTTCTACCTCCTTACTGTACCATAATTTTATGTATTCTCACCTTTAGTTTGTTATGCGAAAATTAAAAAAATGAAATTACCTGTAAAAATGCGTCCATTAAATATTAAATTTTTTATAAAATACAAACATGGTACAATGAAATAAAGATGACCTTCTTTCAAATTAGCATTCCTAGCTCTAAATTTTCTGCAATTTACCTTGTGTAATTTTAATGTATTAAACAACACTTCCCATCTCTGATTTTTTCAGTTATTTTGGGCCAGTCAGAAAAGCGTTTTCTGCGCTCTCACCTTTTAACCACTCAGAAAAGCGTTATATGTGCTCTCACCTTTGAACCAGTCAAAAAAGTGATTTTCGTGTTCTTCCTTTACCGTCCTGAAAAGATTACCATATTTCTCCATATTAAATGAACGCTGCTTTTATAAAAACAAAAATAATGGAATTTAAGGGCTAAGTACATAAGAAGCTTGAAGTCATGGTACGGCCTATTTTGTGACATTTCACAAAGGAATTACAGAGCCGCACCAAAATCCTGCCGTCGTTTTTCATTATAATTTGGCATTAATATGCCTAGCCATGACTTCAAGCTTTTTATGTATTTGCAGCCTTAGCCTATCTATTTTGCAACAACAATATTTTGTTTGTATTAAAATGATTTAATTATCAAAAAAGATCTTCCCAAACATCAAGTTGGATCTTATTCCCCACTCTTGTTTCGGTATAATTCATAATGGCTAAAATACTATCAATACAGGATTTAGGGTAAGTACAGAAGAAGCTTGAAGTCATGGCTAGGCATATTTTACGACATTTCATAAAGGGATTACAGAGCCGCACTAAAATCCTGCCGTCGTTTTTCATTATAATTTGACAGTAATATGCCATGGCTTCTATGTACTTGCACCTTTATTCATGATAAAATTAAGAAGGTGATGTCATTTCCAATCAATATATCCATTTCCGTATTTTCTGTAAATCAAATTTCACTGCATAGAATACAGGTTCCCATCTCTAATTTCAATTTATTTGTAAACATAAATTTTCACAATAGGATGTCAAATGAATAATTTCGAAAAATTGTGAACATTTAACTTTACCTTCTTAATTCTACAATTAAATTATTGAATTATTAATTAACTTATTGACATTGTACAATAAAATCACGGTAGGGCTCGTGGTAGAATAAAGAATGTGAAGTCATTTCAAAAAAGACTATCCATCTCTGCATTTTCTGTAATTTACCCTGTCAAATTTCACTGAATAAAAAATAGGTCCCCACCTCTGATTTATATATATATATATACCTCTGATCTATATATACAGTGGATTTATATATATACAGTGGATTTATATATATACAGTGGATTTATAAATAGAAATCCTGACAATGAGATTTTGTCAAATGTATAAATTTGAAAAAAAAAATGTAAACATTTAATTACATGACTTTATCTTCTTATTTCTACCATGGCATCGACAAAATCTACGTATGCATCGACAAAATCTACAGTTTTTGTAGCAATATAAACCTTTAGAGATATATCGAACAAGATTTTAAAATAAATTTCCACTTTGATTCAGTTTTCGCGGTTTTTGAATATTTATTCAAAACTGTAGATTTTGTCGATGCATATGTTGAAATTAACATTTTGAAAACACCGAATTTGAATATTTTCTGAACAATTTTTTTGTTATTGAAAAGAAAACACATATATATAGACAAACAGGTAGACCTCTATACTTGCAAAATTTTCAAAGTTGGCCTACCTTGTCTTCATTGTACCATGCTTATTGAGAACAACTAATGATATTTTTTTAAAGTAGTATGTGCTAGAATGGTATTTTTTTTTAAATCCAACGAAATCAAAAACTTCTATAATCCGCTAAAATCGCCATGTCGCCAAATCAAAAATGAAAATATCAAGCGCACATAAAATCGCCACATTTGTCGATAATTCGGCATGTCTGACAACCCTGGTTAACATATGTTTGTATTTACGTTTGCATGCTTGTAATTTGCTACTGTTCAGCACAAGGTAGATGTACTAGGTAATTGCATCAGCCCAGCTGACGACACCATTAAATGGCAAAACAAATTGTTGTAATGAATAATTCGCCTTAAATGAATGGAACAACAAATTTGTTTATGTTGTCTTCCCTTAAAGTACCTTTTTATAATATTTCAAATAATTTAAGAGCAATTTAAGAGTGAAACCAGTAAAAAAATTAAAAGAAAATGAAGGAAGGAGGTTAGAATGGAGTGCAGCTTTAAGAATTAAGTTAGCCTCAACATCTAAGATTCCCAAAGCACATCACGGGAAGTAGTGCAAGAATTCGACTCTTGTCATTTGCAGTTCCGGAACACTTTCGGTTTAAACCAGTAAAATATAGTCATTATAAGTTTCTTGGTTTAAAAAATATCGCAATACTACAATTAATACTTATTTCACTCTTATTTGTTTTACAATAAAAACGACGACACAAAATAAAATGTTAAACAAACACCTCGTTTCTGATTGGTTGAAACAAATTTGCCGCAACCTTTAAATGTCATGGCGAATCTATGTTTTTCGCCTTAGATGCCAATTTTGACATTTGAGGGTACCACAAAAGTTGCTTTGTTGTAGCAATTCGCCGATGCGGTTACCTGTTATATCTACCTTGGTTCAGCATAAGCATTTTGACAAATTGGAGGGAGGAATGCTTATTTACTAGTGTTTACGGATGTAAACACTAGTCAAATAAGTAATATTATTTGTAAAATGTCGTCGCCGAATGTAATGAAATACTGGTTGTTATTGGAATCGCTTATATTTCCGGGTGAGTTAGTGATTATCTGCTAAGAATCCATTTTAACGTTTGTTTATCTAGGTGATGCCAAAAATTCCGATTCAACAATTTCGGAACAGGAGCGTATTGCGAAAAACAATGAAGTCTTGCAAAGAAGTATGCAGTTATCGCCAACAGAAGTGGCCAAGATTTTGATAGAGGATCTTGAAGTATCCCGTTTGAACAACAAGGAACAATATGTTGCCTGCAATGTAGATGAAAAAACAATATACTCCATTTATTTGCTTATGACCATACGAACTATTTATAAAAATACCAATTTCAACAGCGATAAGGTTGAGGACTTGATATCGGAACATCACAGAAGGCAAATAAGCTACTGTATTGAAGATATAGCCGAGAACGGACTAAAGCCGAACATACATTGCGCGTTCCGTGGAGATAGAAAATCCATTTTTGGGGAAAGTATTCGAAAAGATCCAAACCTTTGCCTTGTAGAGCTACTCGTAGAGGGGATAGCATCATTTATGTGTATTACGTCTTTGCCCATAATTCGATCTTCGGACGAGATTACACTCTGCTATATAGCTGCTTTATACACATTGATTTTTGTGTCAGACCTAAAGGGCGATGAAATGAACGAGTCGAATGTCGTGAGCACGAAGGCAAAACTAAATAAGTTATGGGGTAGTGTACCCAAAGTGACATATTTTCGCAACCTAATGATGCTATATGGAATGGTCGAAAATGAGAAAAAATCGATAGTACACCGGGATTTGTTGTTGAAATTGTGGTCTCCAGGAGGTTTTGTCGCCCTTCTGTTTGCCATGCAAAAATCCGATAAGGAAGAACAATCCGTCAAAGATGTTGTTGTAAAATTGGTTTCACAGCCTTCTTACCCCAAAAGAGCGCAGGCATCAATCGTGAATCAAATTCTATGCTTTCTAAAAGCTAGTATTGACAATAAAGACGCAATATCCTACATGGGAACAGGATTAATATCGCTTAGGAAGCTATGTGAGAATAGTATTTACAATAGAAAAATAGTTGAAGATTGGTTGATAAAACAAGTACAACCATTGTTGGATTTGCAAAAGGACTGCTTAACTGTTATGGAGTGGAGTGAATTCAGTTCAATGGTGCACCTGTTTTTCCAGGCCTTTTGCACTTCCACTATTGAATGTTTGCCGAGTGAGTTTTTAGTTCCATTCATACCATTGCTCATTACGTTGTACCAGTATATAGACAAATACAAAACCAAACCTTTTGTTGATGTTGTTTGTAACCACCTATCCCATTTAATATTAAGAATTCTTAACAACCGTACTACAGAGGAGCTCAATATAATTATTATGAACATGGCAAGTGACGAATATCCCAAACAATGGCTAAAAGTAAATTCGAGGGTGAGAATTGAGGAGGACATATTAAATTCCCAACATTTGAAGATAGTCCAAAGGGAGGAGAAGCAGGAGTGCGACTCATTCATCTCATGCAGTCACATGAATAGCCTGGCCGAACTCCTTAAGAAATCTTCTTTTAGCACACTTGCGTTGAAAGTGTTCATTATTTTATTCAAATTGTTCCCCACTGTTGGCAGTATGAAAAAGTCTTTGGTAGATGAGTCCATGAACAATATGGATTTGCTTATATGTGATGAAGATATTCAAAGCAGAGTGATTTGGGAAATATCTAACAAATACAATGGAAAAATTCAAATTATTAATGCTTTGCACATACTAATAGAGCACAAACCGCTTAAGAGCCTCTTAATGGAAAACATTAGTGAGCTTATAAGTGTTATTGAAGAATTCTTGGTAGTTTGCACAGAAATCGGCGACGAAAACAGTCACCAATTGGACAAAAACGTTGTTGTCATATTGTTGACTTTAATAAGGGAGATTGTGGAAAACGGTCCTGTTCAATCGGAAAACGTGAAGCGTAATTTGTTAGGGCACTTATTAAAACTGCAGGCCACAACTAGAGACAGAGACTTAAATTTGCATATTGTTTATCTTAAACAAAAAATCGAAAACGGTTCTGGTGCAACGCCAGGGATCAAAGTAAACGAAGAAAGGTTTGAAGAGGCCAGGACACTTCTAGAGTCAAAAGAACCATATAAACAAGTCGAAGGAATTCAACTATTTATCACTTTAATAAAGAGTAAAGATGTATTAACTATAAGCAATGTCCATGTAATAATGGCATTAGCACTTAATGCGCTGAAATCACCAGAGTCTTACACATTCCTGAATTGCGTCCGACTATTTGCGTCAATGGTTTACTTGGACGAGCACATAATATTAGAAACATTGACTGAAGAATACCTAAATGAATCGGCCGGCATGGATGATAGGCTATTGATTGGAGAGGCGCTACTAAAAGTTTGCTACGAAATTGGTAAGATTTGAGGAGATTTCTCTCAAAGTACTTCGCAATTACAAAATTGTCCAATTTCAGGGCCGCTTTGTTACAAATACAAGAACATACTCTTAAATTGTTACATGTTTGGGTGCCGATCTCCGCTGGATGAGTTCCGTTTTTCTTCATTCTCGAATTTGGCACAAATGTGCAAAATATTATCGTATGACGTTCATAAGTACTTCCAAGAGGTATGTAATTAAATGTTAGTGCTAAGAACACTATCGATAAAACTGAAACTCATTTATTTTCAGCTTCTCAATTTGATCAACTGTGAATTGACTTCTGGAAAATACGTTCCCGCTAAACGTGCGGCCGTTATGGTGTTAAGTGAGCTCTTATCAGGAATGGATAACTTGATAGATTTCCAAGAAATGTTGTTACCCATATACAGACTATTGAAGTTTCTAGCATCCTCAGAGAGAACGGATGAAAAAATTCGCTTGCACGCATCGGTTGGTCTAGAAACATTGGCCAAGAAAACTAAAGAATTTTTGTCACTAACCGCAAATGAAATGTCCTTGGAAAAGGAAATACAAATAAGAGGAATTAAGATGAATTCAAAGCATAATTTTAAAAGTCATATTTTGTATATGGAATAAATTTTCTCCAAACCTACCAAGATTTATATAAATTATTTTCAAGTCAAGATATATTTAGTCTCATTTAAATATAAAAAAAAAACTTTTTACAAACGATGTAATGAACACATGTTAAAATAATAATTAAATCAAACTCTGAATAAGGATTCCGCAAAATATACATCAAAACACTATTATTTTTTTGGTTATAGTGACTTGACATTCTTCTCAGAACACTATTATTTTTTTGGTTTTAGTGACTTGACCTTGTAAAAAAGCGCGACTCGTAGTCACAGTTGCGTCAAGCCTTCTGATTACCAAGTACTAACTTAACGCAAATGTAACTCGTTTTCGATGTCCCATGTTGTCATGGACAAAAGGATGAAATTAATACATAAGAAGCATGTAATTTTTAAATTAAAAACAAGTAAGCAAAGGCTACAGTCAGGCGGGCCGACCATCTGATGTCCTACAACACTACAATTTGCGGTAAAGTTTCTGTAGATCTGAAATCCTTTTGACTAGAATGAAGATTCCCCTAAGAAACATCTCCATATCTACTACATGATAGAAGCAAATGCTGAATCCTATTGTTCCTCTTTTCAAATAATCATGATGTATCTGGAACCAATATTTTCCTTATCTTCATCGATGTTTGACATAGTAGTAGTAGTACTACGTAAAGTACCCTATTTACTCTTTCGGAAAGAATAGAAATTTCCCATTCATAAAAAGGTTTTCATGCTTATTGAACATTTTAGTTTTATTTCATTCTTGAAATAATGTCACCTAGTCCTGTGAAAGTTTTATCTTTAGACCGAAACTACGAGGTCATGCAATTCTTCGCACCATTTGTAAAGGCCAGAGGTGCTCCTTTCACGTATTTGTGATTTCATTAGTTTTGGTATTTTTCATACGAAATTGTGTGTGACCATCCAAGTGCTAAGTTCCAATATCTTTAAAAAAAAAGGTTTTCATGCTTATTGAACATTTTAGTTTTATTTCATTCTTGAAATAATGTCACCTAGTCCTGTGAAAGTTTTATCTTTAGACCGAAACTACGAGGTCATGCAATTCTTCGCACCATTTGTAAAGGCCAGAGGTGCTCCTTTCACGTATTTGTGATTTCATTAGTTTTGGTATTTTTCATACGAAATTGTGTGTGACCATCCAAGTGCTAAGTTCCAATATCTTTTAAACATTTTGTGTAAAGTGAAAAAAATTACAATATTGTAAGTCAAATTGAAATTATCATGCGATAAAAATATGACCATTCTTAATTGGTGAGGCTATTCTGAATTAGTGAGAATTGTCAAAATCCGTCCAGTCGTTCCTGAGTTATAAGCGGCCTAACTAACATTCCTCTATTTAATATATGAGATTGTATATATTTTGCTATATATGCCATATCTCTAATTTTAGCATCAATTTAACGGTCAGAAGTGACCTTTTCGTGTATTTGTGATTTCGCTGGAATTAAAATACTCGCGGTTTAATGGAAATTTTCGTATTTTGTTACATGAAAGTTGTTTTCTATTTCAACCCCTAAACATTATTCGATGACCAACTAAATTGATGGGCTTCTGCCTAGCCGTCAACTCAATCCCCGTACAAAATTTTAAAATCGATTGGTCTATAATTGTGACCCTTAGGGCAACAGCAAAAACAAGACGTTTTCCCTTTTTTGGTCCATTTATTTGGCCCCGATTCTCCATGTCATAATTGCGATCAGTAGTGTGATTACAAGTTAGCATGGACAGTCGCACACACTGACTCATCGTGGCGAAATAGGAAAATTAATATCTATATGTGGTAGGGTATAAATATTAGTAACATACACCTTGATAATTGCGATGGTTGACTTTAAAAACTCACTAAAAAAAGTAGGCTTTGTCTATGTTATCAGTATACTCATAGTTTAAATCGAGGTGTATTTAATTGCCTTGGTTCCAATATTTTGTGCTGTTTCTTTGTAAAATGCACGTTCATATATTCTTGATTGTGATTTCAATTTTAAAATCTTTGAATGCTGATAGTGAGACAGAGGAAAAACGTAGTACCATTTGACTGATTCGCTGCAATTTATTGCTAATACTTATAACATTTGCAGCTATAAAATGCTATGTATGCAGCAATGATGGATGCGATGTCATTGAAGAGGGCCAAACAAAGTTTCTGGAAGAGTGCAGTGCTGGCAAATGTTTTGTCAAAGAAGAACAACACCGTAAGTTTTTACTTACCCTTCGTATCTCAAAGATAATAAACTTCAGTGGAAAAAGTATTCTACAGCGGAAATTCTCGGCAATTTTGTTTTATCGAGAGGATGTGGTGATTCAAGCTGTGGCTCTTTTCCTTCTTCTCTGTGTTGTGAATGCTACACAGATGGCTGCAATCAGAACTCCTGTCTCGTGAAATCAAAAACTTCCGACTTACAAGCTTCAAGGAAACTAATTTATCTTCTGTTTGTCATATCTTTAATAAATTTCACATGATAAAAAAAATAGATGAGTGTCAAAAATTGAAGTTTCTGTTGTAGCGACCATTCAGGAAGATTCAAACTAATCTCTGAAGCAAAAGTATTACAAATGGTTGAAAGAAAGTTTGCTGCTAACAAGGTTATAATAGTAACCACTAATACAAAAAAGCATTAAGTTGGGCCGGGCCGAACTTTAAATATCCTCCATTATAAGCAAAAGAAAACATATTTATTAAAAAAGCATCTAGATTTAACCGTATTCCACTCTAAACTGCAAATACCAGTGATATTGGTTGGAGAGCACTGTTAAGTTTCAAAATAACATTAATTATTTCAATGTTAGTAGCGAATCGAACCTACAGTTAATGTATACTTCTAAGGATTTGGCTGGAAAAAAGGATCAGGGATCACGTACGTACAGGTACGTGAACCTATATTGACATTTTTGAAATGTATTTAGTCTTTACGTTAAAGACTAAACGACCAGCAAAGCGGAATCTATGCTGCAACAGTTGTTGCTGCAATGGCGGTTTTTGCATTGGCAACATTGCCATGGCATCTGTCCTTCAAGCTGACTTGAGTAATTAAGGGTCCTTTCTCATAGAATGCCCGCGCTGTTTCGACATCATCTATTCAGTTTCGCCACCATATAATTCGGTACTTTGTGCTGTAAGTGTGAAGTTAAGGGAGGTGTTTTGTAGAGCAGTCGTTGAGGAAGGTGCTGTCGTGAAGGTGAATACACCGTAAGAAATATTGGAGCACAAATATAATCTTACTACATATTCGGAACAAATATTTCCGAATTTGAATTTTAAGATTTTTCTTTTTTGATTGAATTCTATTTGACAAAATACGAATTCACATGTTAGGAATAGAAAATTAAATTATTTCATATTGTTAGACAAATTTATCAAATTCATTGTCCTTCCAAATTAGAGACATTTTCATATCCCTTGATTTCTCTGAAATTATATGTAGATTCTTAGTCAATATTAGGGAAAATAACAGGATGTGATGTTTGTCATTCTGTTTGTAATGACATAATATTTTAGGACCCAACGCAGGATATGCGTTTCTGATCAGCATAAAATTCTATAACTATTTGCGTATGTCAGCCTGTGGTAATCGGTATTAATTTTTAAAGGATCAACTTAGATGGTTAGGGTGTTAAGTCCGAAGTTATTATTTGTGTTTAATAATTTTTTTTTTAATTTTTTTAACAAAAATTATATAAAATTTAAAATTTTTGAAAATGTCAACTTATATATTGTCTGATCAAAATATTAATTTTTAACAACGAAGTTGTTTTTAAAACTATTTTGTTATTTCAAAACACATATAATCACAAAAATTTTTTGAGGCTCTCTGCCTTGCCCTGCATTATACAAAGGATTGACATGCCAGCCATTTTGGATTGTTTCGTCAATAACAACGAAATGTGAAAATGTAGAACGATTGCGCTTTGCCTATGTGTCTATCTCGTTTTCCTTTGCCTGATACAAACAAATGCACAAAGACATAATACCCTGACCACCTTGTGGTGTAGGGTATATAAAAGTTATTCAAAAAATTATTGCAATGCTTGGGAACATTGATATGTCAAAATTATGTCGTTGTTTTCTAATACGACGCAAATTGGAGGTTGTTATGACATGCAATTTTTACAAATATCAACAATTTTTTGTTTAACATTTTTAATTTCAAATTCGGTTTGACGGTTCATTGTCCCAGCATCTGCGTCGATGCGTCTACCTGTGTATTTTTCTACCATGTGTTATACATACAAAAAATGACAACAAACATAGTCGCCACATCTGTCCAGGCGAAAATATTTATTTTCGCCTCAAGCGTGAATTTTGACATTTCATCTGGTAAAATAACAGCTGTTTTTAGATTAATTCGCTTGAAGGAAGACCTTATGATTGGGCCATTATTCTGAATATAAATTCCAAATAGTAAACATAAAATACACAATAAACTCGGTAAACTTAAACTAGCAGCACGAATTAATGGTGAATTCTTTTATATGTGCGGCGAATTTAAACACTACTGTAGATCTGCAAGAGTAAAGTGCAATATACAAAAATGAGATTTGTGAAGGATCCTTGTGGAATTGCTTGTTTAATCATTACTTATTTAATGGTGGTATATGCAGACTACGTGGTAATGCGGTGGATAATACTTCAGACGATGCAGACAAGGTAATCTAATATTTGTTTGTTATGCCTGCATTCACGTAAATGTACTGCTTTTTTATAATTCACAGTATATGGGGTCCGATACACGTAATTTTCTTCAACACGGTGGTTTTTCTTCTTGCCCTGTCTCATTTGAAAGCGGTTTTATCCGACCCGGGAACTGTGCCACTACCAGTCAATCGTCTAGACTTTTCCGATTTGCATACTGTAGGGAAAAATAACGGAAATAGTCATAATGACTGGACAGTTTGTACAAGATGCGAGACTTACAGGTAGTATGAGACATAGGACCATTGTTACAAGTTACCTTTTGCTATTTAGGATTAAATTTACCTAAACTGTACGCTTTAAAATTATCCATGCACTCTTATTTTTTCCTCAAAATTTCAAACGATAGCAAAGGGTAACTTATAGTACTGCAAAAACGCGCAAACAGCTCTTTAAATCATCTCCAATTGTATGTAGGCCTCCTCGAGCTCACCATTGTCGGATTTGCAAGCGCTGCATTAGACGGATGGATCATCATTGTCCGTGGATTAACAATTGTGTTGGCGAACGTAACCAGAAATTCTTTCTACAGTTTCTTGTATATGTGGGTATGCTGGCATTGTATTCCATTGCTCTAGTGGTTGGATCGTGGATATACCCTTGTGTAGAGTGTGAATCAGACACATTGGAATCCCAAACAAGACTGTAAGATAAGCCGTATCTTTATAATAAAAGTGTTAAACATTTGAGTGCAAATATTGCAGAATGGCTGACTTCCAAACTATCATTTGGACCAGCCAACTATGGAGCTCTTTAATTTCGTCACACAAAATATACCCAGTTTTCAATATCGAATTGGCATTGTTGAATAGTTTGTAATATTCTTGAGGCTTAAACGCCTATACTGTGCTGTTACGTTTTAGAAGTCGGCCAATAATCGTTTTAATCGAATACTCATACCTATGGATGTAATCTTAAATTTTTGTATGTCTTTTTTCAGATTACACAGTGTAATTTTGCTTTTGGAATCAGCTCTGTTTGGTCTATTTGTTTTGGCTATCATGGTTGACCAAATGCATGCCATCTTGCATGACGAGACTGCCGTGGAACAGGCACAACAAAAAGGATCGTATCGACCAAATAGACGTAAAATCTATCTTCTAGCAGATGTATTTGGTAGAGGTCATCCCATGTGCTGGCTTTGTCCTTGTACGAGTTTCACATCTTCATCCTCGCTACGCTACTATGATACGCCTCTTCTAAGCCATGACGTATAATTTTGAAAGATTCCAGCATTTAAAAAATAATTTCTCAATGTCTTTCTCTTGCATGAAAGACAAAAGTGATACATGTAATGTAGGATTTATTCCTTAGAAATACTACTCCGTCTGAGTATCCATTATTCCGTATCCATGGAAGGTAAATAGGTTTTTAAGGAGGAAAACGATTCCTATTGGAATGTGACTGTTTTAGTTTCTTAATAATTAGTTAAATTATAAAACAATACTTTGTGTGTATGCAGTCCCTATTCTATAAGTTTTATTTATTTATATTTAGATACATTGTTACTGATTAAGGTTACTCACACTGAAAGTATGCAGCTGAACATATTACAGGAGCAGTATGTATATTCGTGTATGATACGCATTATGGTGGGCGCCGATTTGTACTTTTCGAGTTTAGCGAGAGTTTTGAGTTCATAAACAGCTACATTGTGTTTATTTGTTTTGCAAGTCAACAATTTCCTTTTTTATTTTTGGGGAAATTTTACGTTTTCCTTCGGAGCTAAGACCGATAAGCCTATAGTTTTCGATCTAGCTAAGAATTTTAGTCGGTTCCTTTTTTTAGGGCACGATGCCTCTAAACTTTTATAAATGATTACTTGATAACAATCGTAAGCTCAGAAGAAATACATATGACCTGTTACCATTGTGTGTTCTTTAGGTTTCCCGTTGGCCTTACAATTTCTACAGTATTGAAATAACAAAACAACAAATGAATATCTAAATTGGTCTCAACAAATGAGAATTGGTCTCAAAACTCTCGTATAAGTACGATCAATGGTATTGTGCTTTAACACTAAACGCTGGTTGTATGTATGTATTTTAGTTTCCATTGCTACATGCTTTTTGTGTGAGCGACTGTATGGCAGTAGATATGAAATAACCGATGGCAAATGAGATTGGAATTAATGTGTAATATGTGCTTGATTTGAAGTCGTAAACTTGTAAGTACATGTACGTATTGTAATGAAACCAAAGCAATGTCTTAATAAACAAAATTGTAATGGATATTACAATTTAATTACAAATAAATGAAATGTTCTAATGGTGCTCGGAAATAAAACGAGAAGTGTGCAGTAGTAGCATAGACATAGTTTTGTCTTTTCATGCAGGTAGACTCTTACCAAGCCTTTGCATAGCCAATATGCTAATTGGTACAGACCACTCGACTTCGAAAATACATCTAATCGTTTTGCAAGATTTTCACATTGTTATTCCCGAATTTTTCAATGTCACCACGAAATGTTCACTTTTTTGGAACAATTTTCAGCTGACAAAAAAAAAAAAAAAAAATGCAGTCCATGATATGTTTAACATTTTAGAATTAAGTCCCTTAAATATTTTCACTCATACCCCTGAAATGATACAGACGATATCGATGATCCGAATTGTTTCGATGATTAGCGCTAAGAGCTTTACTTCGTTTACATATATTCATGTGTCTATGGTAGTAAGTCTGGTCATTTATTGTCATTGTCCTTAAAACCGTTGAATTCCTTGAACTTTGATTAAAAACCCATGATTTCATAAACATGTTTTCATGTAATAAGTCCATTATAGTTTCACTGGATTTCGTATTCTGACTTCTAATACATCTATAGCTCCCAGAATAAATAAAAAAAAACATAGGGTCAATGCATTCGAATGGCTGAAAAATATACATTTTATAGAATTTTCAATTCGTCAGACATTTCACAAATTCCAATCGGAATGATTTTAATTCCGTATTGTAAAATCGAACGATTTTGTTTTAGCTTCTTCAGATCCTGATTGATTTGGTGAATTACGAATACCTTAGTGTAAAGTGGCAACATTAGAAGAATCAAAACCAAGCATATGATTAGAAATTACCGTAGAATTGGAAATCGTAAAAAATATTCAGTTCAAAAGAAAGTTTATTTAATTATTACATAATGCCGGGAGTTTCGATTGTTTCTGAAATCGAAGCGCGAAGTAATAAACACAAAACTGAAAAAATACGCCGGAGGAATTTTGTGAAATGCTTCGGACAACGTGCCATACCCCAGTGCAGAGTAAGCGTTTTAGTAACAAGTTTAGTTTTAAGGTATAAATAAATTCCTGTGCTTGTCCGTAAATGACTAAAACGTTAATCAACATTTCAAGCCAAATTATTTGTTTTTAATTATTCATTCCTTGGTATCAGGAAGTTGAAGACGTCAAAGTTGTTTAAGTACCGAAAGAAAAAAGAAATAATTCTGAAAATTATCAGTTAGAAATAGGTTTTTTACTTACCGTGCAATACTCCAACCACAAAAAAGGAAAAAATCATTAATATCCGTCCTAAATAGCAGAAAAAACAGCAAAAAGAAGTTACATTAGTTTCGAGAATATATTTATATGTATATATTCTTGGAAAAATGTTCGGTCGGGCCGAACTTTTAATACTCTCTACCATTGGATAAAGAAAATATTTGTATATAAAAGTATTTGAATTCAAACGTATTCCACTTTAAACAACCAATACCAGTAAGAACGTCAGAATAATGCAGTTTAACTTTTCAAAAAACCATAATGCGGGTGATGCCGTTATATGGGAGTCATACCAAAACGGGAATATATATCGACAATTTTATACTACACGCATTGTTAATTATTGCGAGTCTTGCGTGGGTAAATGTGACTAGTATTATCAAAATACTGAAAATCGGTGGGTATATCTGAGCTATAGGAAAACGTGGACCTAGATATTCGCAATTCTGCCACCGAAGATAGAACCCAAATTACCGAACATCGGGAGGTACCGTTATATAGGGGCTATACGAAAACGTGGACATATATGTACAATGTTCCGACACGGGAGCTAGAACGCATTACGAACTACAAATGCCAATAAAACCTTCTGACATTTTCAAGTAGAGAGCTAAAAGCCATTACGAACTTCAAATGCCAATTTTTCGACAAATCGGTAAAAAATGTGACTAAAACAAACACGAACTACAAATATCAATTCTTAGAAAAATTCTTTGGAAAAATGTGGCATAAATCATGGTAAAAGGATACAGGTAGATGCATCAACGCCTGATATGTCATTTTTTTTTTTTTTTCAAAAATAAGTAGTTTTTTATATGTATTATTATTCGACGCCAATCGGAGGTTGTTATGATATGCATTTGTCAACAATTTTAACGAATTTTAACAATTTTTCATTCAAAAATTTTCAATTTCAAAATTGATTTGACAGTTCATTGTCCCAGCAGCTTTGTCGATGCGACTACCTGTATTCTTTTACCATGGCATCATCAAAATACCGAATAATGGGAGGAACCGTTATATACCACAACGTAGACCTACATATCTCGTTTTCAATACCAACCAACCATGGCATAATTACAGAAGGTAGAACAAAGCTAACCCCTAAATACAATTTTTTTTCTTTTGGTCAAAACATAATCAATAAAAAATGCAACAATTTAAAATTAATTGAAATACGGTTGCAAAATAAATGCCTATTTTCGACGTTAATGGGCAGCCCATTGTACAATTTTAGAACAAATTGTATTGTCCTACTATTTTGGATTCAATCTGGTGGAATAACCCCAAAACTGCATTCTTGTTTCGCGGGTTTTCCCCCAATATATGAATTTTGTTTGAAAAATGAAAAATAAACAAAACCAACTGTTGCATATTTAAAAGTCTATTTGACACTATTAGATTCCAGCACAGAGTTGCATTTTTATAGTTTCTTTGAAGTTGAACAACAGACAGACATCGTTAAATCAACTTGATTCATGCTGATCATGAATATACATACTACGTCAAATATCGATCCTAGCAAAAAAATATTCAACACGGTGTTAGAATACAACTTGGAAGTTGTATTCACATTTGATTTTGAGATTAGTCTTGGTGTGCAAACCCTATAAGCGCTTTCATAAATTCCTTTTTTTGGCTCAGCGATATTTGTTAGTTGCCACAGTAATTGAATATGTTTTTGAAAATAACAGCCAAGAGCACGCACACATAGCAATGTTTTCCATAGTGACCATATCCCGTGTCATTACCTGTCTAACTGTTAAATGTGAATAAACAGAGTGCATATTTCTGTACGTGTATGTCGGCGGTTGTGCTGCATTGAAAGAGAGGATTCCCACCATGCGTAAAAATGAGTAAAAGCTTTCATAAAAAGGAATACTTTCATTACGTTCCATCCAACAGAAGGTTTTTGGATTTAGTTGCCAAATGAATCTTAACATTGGCGCATGTGCCTTCGCGGTGTGACGGATTGCGGAGGAGTTTGAATAGAAAGGGACATTTTCGTTTCAGTGAGAAAATTAAAATAATAGAAATACACCACCAGAGCCCTTGAAAAAGAGAGCATTTTTGAATTTCGTCCTCTTTGCTGCACTACAATCATCCCCCTCTTGTATTTTATGAAAGTCGTAACGGGAAGAGCCGATTATATGTAGATATGATTAAATGAGTTCTGTTTTCGATATGCAGAAGTTTGTTCGCGTGTTATTAAAATTTACAAGCTTCTTAAAACCACATCCAATAGCATGCTGAGTTAGTGTGTTGAATATGTGGTTAGTTGCTCATGGAGGGTAAACATTTATAAACAAAATTGTGTATTTCCATGGCTTTAGAAAATCTGAAAAAGTAATTCCAAACGCAAACAACGCTACTTTGGTCTACTGCAACAAGGTCCATCCACCCGTCTCCACTTCATTCAACCCCTGTGAAAGTTGCTAACATTTAAAATATAACAGTTTAACGTTAACATACGTTTAGGCGTGTGCGTGTGAGTGAGTTTAACAAAAATATTATATATGTGCACGAAACGGGCATATTGACGATTATATAGACTGTCGGATAGAAACGACCTTACCAAGCCAGGAATAAAACTAAATCACCTAAATTCCTTATTACATAAACGGTAGGACTCGCAAATGTACTAGGAGGGACGAAATCATCACATGTTTTGGATTTTCCAATAGAACATCGCAGCTGGTTTGCCTCTGAAAATGTGTTGGCTGAATTTTCATATGTGGCTACTTGGTCTTTAGCGTTGCCGTTCCTTTAGGTTGACCTGTGGTATGTAGCATTACCATGTTTTTTAAGTTGTGTGTGTGTATTTACATTTTACAAATTCCAGGATGGCACATCAAATCGTGGGAATATTGAGGAACAAGCATTCGAATGGACACTTTGCAGTGTTCTATAGAAGACCCTTATGGGATATAAGCCAATTTGTACAAGAAGAGAAATAAATTACAAGCCGCTGACTTTTACTCCTTGGAATGATTCCAAACTACAGGCATCAGGGCATCGGACATCCGCGTCAACTGAAAGACGGTACAGACATACCAACAACTGTTTACGCTAAACTGCTTATGAGACAAAGTGTCAGCGCAAATGAGAAATTTCAAGCAACATGCAACCGGGCAACAATCAAGCAGAAGAAAGTGAAGACGCTGTAGACACAAAGCCGAAGAGCGACGAAAATTTGCTAGACAACATTGGTAGCGGCATTACCGTTATTTCTGCGCTCGGTGATGAATGCGACGCTGCCGAAGGTAACAAAGAAACACAAAATGTTGGAGACAATATTATTACAATAACAACAACGAGCATAAATAGCTACGCTAAAAATCCACAGCTACACTCGGAGCTGACCACAGTTCCAAATCAAAAGGCAAGTGCTAATCGTAACAGCAGAGTTTTACATATTTTCAATCAGAAGGTATCCCCGACAGCAGAAAACGGACTAACCACTTCCCAGTTGCACAGATTACCTAGAATTTGGAACAGAGCAAAATTTGTGTCTTTTCAAAATAATATTGCAACCCTCCATCACCGCAAAGGACGACGTTTGCATGGTCTTCAAACTCCGCTTCATCCTCTTCAATTGTTTGGTTGGTTTGTACTAGTGCTTTTCGGACTAGCAGCCTATGGAATATTAGTACCATCGTTTAGTACATCGATTCAGGGCCCGTTGTACGGTCTCATCACTGGATTGTATATTGTTCATATTGTGTCCCACTTAGCCGCATTGCTCATAGATCCAGCAGACCGGGAACTGCGTCGACTGCATCGAAACGACCGAATCGTACCAGAGTTTGACAGATCCAAACACGCTCATGTCATTGAGAACGGCCGATGTCATCTGTGTAATATCCGAACCTCTTCAAATCGAACAAAACACTGCTCAGTCTGTAACAAGTGCATTGGAAAATTTGACCACCACTGTAAGTGGTTGAATCACTGCATTGGCTCCCGAAACTATGTAGCATTCCTAATGTGTGTCGTTAGTGCGGTTTGTGCTGCTCTAGTGATCGTGGTGGCCGTAGTAGCACAGATTGCTTTTTATTACTGGCGTCCGGAATGGTTGAGTAATTGGTACGAAAATAATGAGATTTCCAGCAAAAGAAATTTGGGGTTCTCGGATTTGAATATATCACGTGTTGGAAATGCAACAGATGGCATAGGCTACGCACTTGACGACGATGAAATTTCTATGAACCAGTCGGTTGCAATCTCTTTACTTCAAAACTTGACATCTGTACATGCCGGCATTGCAGCAAATAATACGGACAACAATATCCTGCTATATATGAACAATGCGACACAGAATTCAAACCATTTGGCGAACACTGGTAACAACACCTTCGCCCACAACTCATCATCGTCGATGACTTTCGCTGGCATAGCAGTAAACCAACAAATTTTTTTAGTATTGATTGGCTGTTTGGGTTTGCTGGCAGCTATAACAGCGGGGCTGCTGCTTCATTTATGTTTTTTCCACATTTACATTTCCTTTTTGGGGCTAACAACATACGAATATATACGAAATCACAAGCAAGCCCAAGAAGCCAAAATCAAGCAGCAAGCCAAAGCGACAGGAGAAGAATTGGAAGGTAGTAATCCAATCCAACATCCGTCCACAATTAAGAGAGGAAGAAACTGTGGTCAAGTGTTTATATGCTCCACACGACTGCACCCGAACAGCGTCGCTTCTTATGATAACAAACCAAACATAACACGTTCTCTAGATGAAAATTCATTTTTTAGTTTACACTGCTGTGCCAATTCCCGGGAATACCATCAGACTGCCTTAGATACATACTACATGTGCTCCCTGCTGGACGAGAACCATTTGAAGCCCAAACTTAATGTAGCGCACATTTCCGGATTAGAGGATGACTTGCATGCACTACCCTCCACAGATGAGGCCCATGTTTCACAGTCTTTCCATTGCTGTTCATCATTTAAAGCGTCCTCCTCACAGCGGCGAGTAAGTGCAGCAACGTCTAAAGCCACACTGGTAACTAATTTGGAAAATATGGCGGCTTTGAATGACAGGCGGAGATATGTCCAGTACACCGAACAGTGTACCTTCTGCACATTCCAATTACGTAGTCCGATTGTTTGCCAAAAAGACAAAAGTGCGACATCCAATAAAAATCTGTGCTTAAATTTTCTACGAAGTACCAATTCATCCCGACAAGCATCTGCAAAATCTCAATCATCATCGTCTACTTCACAAAAAAGGTGTTGCATGCAAACTATTTCCAAGCATCAGAGATGGCGGAGAAAATGGAATTGCTGTTCGGCTGTACCAGACAGCCCTGACATTCCAAATGACATTACAGCTGAATTAACTATGAGGAACAACCACGAGTTTAGCACAAATCTACACGAAAAAAAGGTCCTGTCGAAAATGACGAGCGAAAGGGCGACAGATTTTCGACAAAAACATCATATACACAGAACATGGCCAGTGGCCCGATTCCGCCGTGTTATGCGAGCCATAAACCGCTATCGACGACCACAATGCAGGCTTGCAAATGTAGACGATAATCTCGAGACGAATTTGAAGCAAAACAAAGTGAGACCTGTTCCTCTGAGTGCAGAGACAAACAGTTCGAGTCTCACAGAATCTGACGGCAGTTCACCGCGTCCAGCATCAACAGTGTCGGTGTCTTCGACCAATTCTAGCAATAAAAATATCTACAACGACCACAAATATAAGCCTGTATCAGACTCGATTGGAGCAACGTACACAACTTCTCTGCTGCCAACTTCGGTTATTCGAGACGACACTTCGGTGACTTATAGCACCACTCCAGGAGGTATAATCCTTCCACCAGCATTGCCTCCCCCCACAAGGAGGAAAATACCCATGAATGCCGACCTTGATGAACTAGTGGAGACCTTAACATTTGCTTCATACAGTACATCTAACAATGCATTTTCGACCTCGTATGCACCTATACAGCGGTTACCCGCTGCAAATAGCATTTTTCGCAGACCGAGGCGAAAACACTTTCTTCTGACTAGGTCGCCCACGCTATCGCCAATTCACGAATCTGGCTTGTCGAATCCTACATCACCTCAGCCATGCCGCCATGTAGCAACAACCTGCAGCACTGTGGTAGCCAACAGTATATGTGGCCCGTTGATAGCAAAGCAACCTGACACATCACCAAGCCACTCGTCCAACAGTGATACGACATAGGCACAATTAGATATGTCATTCCTTTGTAACTGGAGGCCAACTTAACTAAATAAACGCGTGAATCTCTAAACCTCCGGCCGTTACTTGTCTGAACAGTGTTGTTCCACACCGTCCAAACGTTGGAAAATTAATAATATGTAATGTACATAAATAAAAATAATAAATATATAGATAAGTTCGTTGCTGGAATAACCTAATACACCTGTATTTACGGTGCAAAATTAATTTCTTCTTTCATCACCTATATCTTTAGATGCAAAAATATTTTTGAAATATTTTCATATTTTCCCAAAACAACAACTTTACTACACAAAAAAAAAACACGTATTTTTGAATAGAGACCGTTATGTAATTGAAAGTAAATTACAATGTTCTCCTGTAATGGGTATATAAAAGTTTTTTTGCTTTAGGTTGTAAAGCTCGTGTAAAGGAATACATTTGAAGATGTTATATGAGAATGGAAATTTTCTGTTTGTATTAATAATGTTTTCTGTGTACGTATCTCACTTTCAATAATGCCTTCTTCATCCCTGTTATATTTATTGTTTTTAATATTTTCTGTTCTTAATAAGGATCCGAGTATTTTGTTAATGCGACCATAGAACAGATCGTATTTTGGTGAAAATGCATTTTTATACACAAAACAAAACATATTTTAGATACTATAATTTTATTTTATTATTTTTTTTTTTGAAAAATTAGTAAAATTTTGTAGACATAATTTGTTTATGTTCCATTATTGATGTTTTACAAAAAAGACAACTTTTATTTATTAGTGCAGAAAATTTGGAAATACAACTATTTCAATATTACAGCATTAGGGCGAGGGTGCATAAGAAGCTTGGCATCATGGCTAGGCATATTAAATTGAGTGCGGCTCTTGCACCCCTTAATGATATGTCACAAAGTATGCCATGCGAATACTTCAAGCTGTTTATGTACTCTCACCTTTACTCAGTCGGCATTTTTTGCTACACAAGTAAAACATATGAATTTCTATTAAAGTTACCAAAATACATCGGACTTACGAAATTTCAAAGTTGACAATTGAACAATTTCTGTAATACAAAAAATGTGAACGTTTATTATTGGAAAATATAGTAATTGGGAGAATTTTTAAAATGATCAATTTTTACAATACGTCGGATGTTAGGTAGCGTTGTAAATTTATAACCTGGCAACTAGTGATTCGATTTCAACTATAGGTAACACGAGACAAATTGTATTAACTGTGTATTTTTCGACACACAGACTTTGGCTACTCAAATATGTGCTAAGTATTTTGATATTGGCACCCAACAACACGCACTGTGTATGTCACTGCCAAAGGTTCGATCGTAGCATGGTCGAATCGACCATTGCTATAGTGTTCTCCATAAAAGCAGTAAATCTACACCACGGGCATCTCCTTGGCTTATTTACACCAACGGCCGGCGATTGTTGTTGGTGCTCTCACTGGAAGTAATTGTAATAAAATGAGACAAGGGATCCTCAACGATTACTTAGAACCTCTGCGTTTACCTGTAATTGTATATATATATTGGAACTTGACAGGGGATCTTCTGAAAATACTTAGAACCTCTGCGTTCACTTATTTGATAGTATCGAAAGTGTAAACATACACTTGATGAATAAGAAAAGAAAGAACCACCAATAAAACCATGACATCATATTGAATTAATACTATCTTTCTGTGTTTTATTTGTTAATTTTGTCTTTCTTTTTATCTCCACATACACGCATATTACCCTTACCTATCATCACATCACATAATATGAAGAAGGCATATACGTCACAATTTCTGAAGGGCCATCTATGACTACGATACAATGGGAGATGCCTGATTTTCCTTGCAGACGGTAACCAATGTGAAACTAAGTCAGAACCAAGGGGGAGCGCGAAGAGAGCATGTTTTCCTCGTTTCTTTTGAAATCGGGCAGATTCTACTCTTGCCGGGAACTCTTTCATTTTTTTCTTACCGATTTTTAAATGTTTGTTTTGATTTTTAAATATTTCTGATTTTGCGGATTATAGAATAGTTAGCGAATTGTAGATTATCGGAAAATATGAAAACATTAAAGGCCTCCATGTGTACAATCATGGTAAAATTAAGAAAGTAACGTAATTTCAAATTAGCATTCCCATCTTTGCATTTTCTGTAATTTACCTTGTCAAATTTCACTGCATAGAAAGCAGGTTCTCATCTTTGATTTGTGTATGTACAATGGATTTATGAAAATACATTTTGACAATGAGATATTGTCAAATGAATAATTTTGAAAAAAAATTGTAAACATTTTTTATTCCACCATGTGTACAATTTTAATTCTTAAAATTTGCCAATCAGTTATAACAAACATAATTTAGGTTATAACATAATTTAGATTGTCCAAGAACCCAAGAAATTATGTATATGAAAACCTGTAGGGGAAATTACAATTTATGAAGTGAAATCATGGTAGAATCAAGAAGGTGAAGTCATGCAAACATATGGTTACAAATTATTCAAAATAATTCGTTTGACAACATCTCATTGTCAAAATAGGTATTTATAAATTTATTGTAAATACACAGATCAGAGATGGATCTCCTTGGCTAATTTACACCAACGGCCGGCGATTGTTGTTGGTGCTCTCACTGGAAGTAATTCTAATAAAATGAGACAAGGGATCCTCAACGATTACTTAAAACCTCTGCGTTTACCTGTAATTGTATATATATATATTGGAACTTAACAGGGGATCTTCTGAAATCACTTAGAACCTCTGCGTTCACTTATTTGATAGTATCGAAAGTGTAAACATACATTTGATGAATAAGAAAAGAAAGAACCACCAATAAAACCATGACATCATATTGAATTAATACTATCTTTCTGTGTTTTATTTGTTAATTTTGTCTTTCTTTTTATCTCCACATACGCGCATATTACCCTTACCTATCATCACATCACATAATATGAAAAAGGCATATACGGCACAATTTCTGAAGGGCCATCTATGACTACAATAAAATGGAAGACGCCTGATTTTCCTTGCAGACGGTAACCAATGTGAAACTAAGTCAGAACCAAGGGGGAGCGCGAAGAGAGCATGTTTTCCTCGTTTCTTTTGAAATCGGGCAGATTCTACTCTTGCCGAGAACTCTTTCATTTTTTTCTTACCGATTTTTAAATGTTTGTTTTGATTTTTAAATATTTCTGATTTGGCGGTATGGCTATTTTTTTTTGCGGATTATAGAATAGTTGGCGAATTGTAGATTATCGGAAAATATGAAAACATTAAAGGCCTCCATGTGTACAATCATGGTAAAATTAAGAAAGTAACGTAATTTCAAATTAGCATTCCCATCTTTGCATTTTCTGTAATTTACCTTGTCAAATTTCACTGCATAGAAAGCAGGTTCTCATCTTTGATTTGTGTATGTACAATGGATTTATGAAAATACATTTTGACAATGAGATATTGTCAAATGAATAATTTTGAAAAAAAAAAATTGTAAACATTTTTTATTCCACCATGTGTACAATTTTAATTCTTAAAATTTGCCAATCAGTTATAACAAACATAATTTAGGTTATAACATAATTTAGATTGTCCAAGAACCCAAGAAATTATGTATATGAAAACCTGTAGGGGAAATTACAATTTATGAAGTGAAATCATGGTAGAATCAAGAAGGTGAAGTCATGCAAACATATGGTTACAAATTATTCAAAATAATTCGTTTGACAGCATCTCATTGTCAAAATAGGTATTTATAAATTTATTGTAAATACACAGATCAGAGATGGAAACTTAGTTTTTATGAAGCGAAATTTGACAAGGCAAATTACAGGAAAAGCAGAGATGGGTATGCTTATTTGAAATGACTTTACCTCCTTAATTTTACAATGAGTGAAATTAATATTTTATCGATGAAATTCCCACAAAAATTGACTTGACTTTCGGTTTGAAACGGGTTTCTCTTTCTCAAAACAACACAAAACCTGATCAAATGTATGATTTTTCTGAATATAATAATATTATAAAATATAATTAAAAAAATAATAATAAATAAATCTTTTGAGTAAATCATCTTAACTCAAATAAACTCTTCAAAAAGTGAAGTTGTACACAAAGTTGTATCGTTTGTGGCCGAAGCATACAACTTGGCTAACCTCCATGCTGTATCAACTGCTGTATCGTGTGTGGCTTGCATTAGAACTTTTTGTAGGGTTAACCAACTTCAAGAGGATTTTTTTTGAAGTAAAGGTAATGGTAAGGTAATTTATATGTAAACGCACTGTAACAGTAAAATTTGTGCTCCAAATATGTAAATTTTAAGTAAAATATTTCTCTGAGTGAGCCTTATTAGTTTCTAGTGAAAAATGCCTTTAATAAATTAATTAGAAATTATAAAAAATAAAAATTCTAAGTAAACCAAAGAAATTTCCTTTTGCCGGCTTTTAGCTAATTCTGCAAATTTTGTGTATGTATTTATTGTTTTCATGGTAGAATTAAGAAGGTAAATCATGCAATCATATGTTGAAAATTTTTTCAAAATTATTCTTTTGACATCTCATTGTTAAAATGTTTATTTATAAATCCATTGTACATACGCAAATCAGAGATGGGAACCAGCTTCCTATGCACATGGGAACGCTTATTTGAAATGACTTTACCTTTTTAATTTTACCATGATTGTTTTGAAAAATATAATTGAAATGATAAATGGAAATACTCTGACAGGAAGCGGACATAGCCTCAGGGCTGTATTTACTTAGTTTTACAAAACTGTTCCAACTCCTTATTGTACCATTGGTGTTTGATCATAGATCTATCAAACCCATTGGATTAATATTTAATAGTATTAACGCGCTATAAGATCTACCGATAGAAACAATGTTATTTCTTTTAAATCACTTTTCTGTTTGAAAATTACAGATTTTGGTTAAGTTTGAACTATTTTGGAATTGTTTTTGACTGTCAAATATCAATATTTTTACGCTTATCCCCGAACGACATTTACGATATCTCTAATTCGAATTTTTTCGATTTTTTCGAAGAGTCCACAATTTAGTTATCAAGTTAAATGACAATTTTTACATGCTTGTAGGTTCTGGAACAGAGCAAATATAATAGTTGTGTTCCAGTACTTTTTTAATAGTAAAACTAGCAGAAGAGAGAACAGTACGAAATGCCATTCTCATTTAGTTGTGCTCAAAA